ATTTTTCACACACAGAGCCGGGCACTGCTCAAGTCATAAGCTGCTGATAGCCCGGGGCGCACACTGACCTGGGCGGCTTGCTCAAACATGAAGGGTCCAGCTTAACAAACAAAGTCTGAGAGCCTTTTACATTTCAGTCACATGTAATGAGCGAAAAGGTGTCCCTCCTGCGCCTGAGTACACTGTCATGTTATTCACCTTGAAAATACAACTGTCTACCTAATAATGCTTTTCCCATCTCATCCCTGCCTGTCTACAGAAATCTAGACCTGGTCAAAATGAGCACAGAAAGGGGACAACAGGTCGTCATTGATACCACCTGCACCACAATCCACACATTGGGGAGGCAAAACGGGAGTGAGGGCAGGTGGCTCCGCTACATGCAGAAAGATGGGAGGTTTCCTGTGGTTTTCCAGAAGGCCCCTGGAGACTGGAGCCCGTACCTGATGGACATCTTCACCACTCTTGTAGAGATCCGCTGGAGGGTGATGCTCCTCATATTTTCCCTCTCTTATATTCTCTCTTGGCTATTTTTTGGTCTCTGTTATTGGCTCATTGCATATGTGCATGGAGACACTGACGATGTCGACAACGAACCCTGTGTGGACAACGTGCGTGGCTTTACTGGAGCGTTTATGTTCTCAATGGAGACCCAGGCAACTATTGGCTATGGCTTCAGGGGGATGACTGAGAACTGTATTGCGGCCATTATTGTGGTCACAGTTCAAGATGTGTTTAGCTGCCTCCTAGACACCATTGTCATTGGTATTGTTGTGGCTAAGATGGCATCTGCTCGTAAGAGAGCTCAGACGGTGGGTTTTAGCAATTGTGCAATAGTCAACCTGCGAGATGGGGTTCTGTGTCTGTCATGGCGCCTCGGGGACTTCAGAGGTAATCACATCCTGGAGGGGGTCGTCAGGGCCCAGTTAGTCAGCTATGTAAAAAAACCACTGGGGTCTATTGTGATGTCCTATCAGGACCTGGACATCCAGAACCGGGACCTTGTCCTCGCCACACCAGCCACCATTGTTCACAAGCTGGAGCCTGGCAGTCCTCTCTACAGCCTGGGCCCTGATGACCTGCTGGAGGACGAATTTGAACTGGTGGTATCTTTCACCTACACTGGAGACTCCACAGGTATGCTCCACCAGACCCGTACCTCCTACACACCTGCGGACATCCGCTGGGGTCAGCGTTTCCAGGACATGTTGAAACTTGGCAAGAAGCACTACAAGGTGGACTACGCTCTGTTCAATGAGACCACATGGGTGCCGGTGCCCCAGCTCAGTGCTGAGGAATATGACAGAGAGAGATGCCCTGTAGAGGATGGTCAGTCCCACAGCCTGCTCTTACCATCAGTCAAGAGAAACAGACACACTTTCCAGGCGAATCTTGACTTCACTGGAGAGGTGATGCACCAAACCTCTTTGTAACTTAAGCAAACAAAGAAATACATCACAGTGCACGGTGGACTGTTGTCATGGACAGTGTGATAAGATGTACTCTTGTAAATATATTTATATGACTTTAAAGTGGTTATAACCTGAGATTTTTTTTTTTAATGCTTTATATGACTAAAATTCATAACCACAGATTTAAGTCAAATAAAAGTCTAATTTCCCTAGTAAAGGTCTGCTCTTTGAATATTTCTTTCTTCTCATCATGAATTATAGTAACACTGCCAATAACATTATGTGAGGCCAGTGTGGCTCTGCACTGCCACCCTGTGTTCACCCTGTCTCCTACACTCAATATTACTCTAGCACAGATTTCACATAGTAGGTCGATTCACCACATGACGGAGAGTATTGGCTTGATTCTTAGGCAGAAATGATCAAACACTAAATCTCATGTAAACTCCAATTGCTGAAGATTAATTATAGTGATTTGACTCATGTCACAAATCACATGCAGTGTTGCTGAGACTCAGGAGATGTTTTGCACTCAGACTGACGCTTCTCTCCAGTTTAAACGTCAGGTTTTTCTGAGGGGATTTGATTCCTTTTGTCTTTCATTCTGACAGATAATACAAAACCCTAAACCTCCATGTGGGCTCAGAGCCTCAAACAGGCGCTGCAGCTTTCCATTGGCCATAGCAGCGGCAGGGGGCGGGGATAGGCACACGTGTTTTTAAAGTCTCTCTTTGCAACGACAAATATCTTCTTCAGTGTTGCTGGAGAGGGTTATGGCAGAAATTACAGCGCCAGACGGGAAACTACGAGAACACAACAAAAGAGCAGCAGGAATAAAAGAGGGGGAGTGTGCATATGTGGCGCATATGGGACTTATTTCAAAAAGAAAACGGCACATTTACACTGCAAGGACCAACAGGTAGGTGCAATAAGCGGGAAACATTCAGCTCTGTTTATGAGTGTAATATGGCGGGGAAATATAGCTGCAGTCTGTAATAAGTGATGGTCCGTCTCTGTGTAAAATGCAAAAACTGCATGTTCTGTTGCCCTGTAGTACGAAGGTAATTATATGAAACAAGCTGTTTCCCGTTTCTAACGTTTCTTTACAAAACATATTTTTTCTTATTCATTCTTTTTATTATTATTATTATTATTATTATTATTATTATTATTGTTAAGGGAAATTAGAGACTGCAGAATGTGGACTGGATGATCTGCATTGTTCCTGCTCTTAATCTGAACTCTGTAACTCGTATCTGTGCACAAGCTGCACAAAACCTGTAGTGTAAAAATGCTAAACGTGAATAAATGAAATTTATGTAAATTCTGTGAAATTGCTGAAAAATATATACACTAATATAAAACAACAAATGCTGAGAACAAAAGACACCATCTGTGGAATGATTGGCCATAGTTATTGATTTTGTGTAATAAAAAATAGAGCAGCTTTATGTAACCAGTTTCCATCTGCCTCAGCTGTTGGCACTAATTGAGAACACATGCAAAACAAACAATCACAGGTTGTGCAGCCTCTGGAAGCCTTGGTCTGTCACCATGTACCAACCTGCTGTAATAAGTGATGTAGAAAAAAAGCTTGGTGGGAAAGAAACCAGAGGGGAAGAGAGAGGGCATGCACTCAGTGTCAGTGCAGCAACACCACAAAATAGTGCATAGAGATTTTCACCAAATCTCTACGCACTGTAAAGTGGTAAGTGCTGCCTTAGATAAAAGTATCAAAGTAGACAAATGCTCTCTCCGCTGTCGTTCTGTTGTACGTGCAGCTTTCCTCTTGATCTTTACCTTTCTTCAGTCACGTAGTGTGGACTATATGCATTCACGGCTTTTATGCAGTCTGGTGTTTGTCTTGTTTCTGTGCCACAGTAAGCCAAATAAAAAAGGTGAGGAAAAGGTCTAGAACGGCCAGCATCGTCATGATGTAAACTGGATATTCTACTTGTGATAAGGAAGTTGAAATGGTCTTTCTCACTAAGACTGTGTTACTAATTTGTGAGTGTTGCAGTTTAATTGTAATAAATGTAGCATTTAAGAGATAAATGTAGCGTTTTCAATATCATAATAAATCTCTAAAATCCATTAAACAAATTCCTTGGGCATGCTTTGAGCTGTGAATGAATGGAGCCCCCATATTCCCAACAGTGTACGTGACAGGTTGCTATTTGTAGTCGACCCAGCAGTGACATCATCAGTTGTGAAAAGCAAAGATGATGCAGGGGGGGATTTAGGACCACGTCCTCCACATCTTATCCCACATGACATTTGATCACTTGCACTACAGACACAAAAAAGGCCCATGTTAACAAAAAAAAGGTTTCCTTTTGACGACTGCGTCATGCTTTCAAAACTAAATGAAAGAAACATGAGCAGCTAGGTTTATTCAGAATATTTAAATGAAAAAGCCTCCTAGACTTTATTTTATTTATTTATCCATTCATGTATTTTATTTCTTGGCCCTTTCACTTTAATACAATAGTGACACTCAGATGAGATGAGTTTCCAAAGTGGAGGTGGGGAGGTATTTTGGCACTAGCAGAGCATGTCTGGCTGACCATGGCCTTTTGTAGCCTGTGGTGTTGCATTTTAATGGACCTTTCGAGCCACACACACACACACACACACGCACACACACACCAAGTCAATAGCGTTTCTAATTTAACTGTCCTTGTTGCTCTATTACATATGATGCAAGGTTACTGTTGCTTTCAGAGAAAGTCGCCCTTCCTCTCTGAAAAGCTGCAGGGTTCATTTAATCTTGTTACATGGTGTAGTGGTGTCAGCTGTAGTTGTGAATGAGATTTTGGGCATGCACAGACATATGTTATTGTAACCCTGCACTTACACAGCACAAACTGTATTCAATTGTCAACAGGTTTTCAATGCAACATGCCATACGTTTATGCATTGCTTTCTCACTTTTGTGCGTATCTGCACAGAGCTGATACTTGTACTGTATCTGTGTTCCAGTGGCTCACAGGATTAACACGAACTTGATCTGTAATTTGACTCAGCTCCCCGTGGAACTGACCTGTCTAATTAATACTTACATTAAGCAGGGTAAACATCCTCTCCCACTTTGTCAGCTATCTAAGCGCTTGAATAATATGTTTTATCTCCTACTGATAATGCACAAACAATGGATTCCCTTGGCTTTCTGACTGCACTGCATACACCGTTTGTGTATGCAAGAAGAATGCTGTTAACGTTGAGTGTACAATCCATTATTTAGACAGCAAGTAACCACACACCCACACGTACTGATCTTTGCTCTGGTTCCTGCCAATTACTTTAAAACAGTTTTTCTCTCTGTCTGTAATTTCCACAGCCCACTTCACTGATGAGGTCCAAACCAGCCGTCAGAGAGGAGTGACCTGCCCTCACCAAAGGTGCACAGCACACCCGCAGAAGCACAGGTCCAGTCTCCCCTTTTCCCTGCAGGATCTAGTCCTGTTGTTCACATTTTCTGCTTGAGTTTGTCCCCGGGATCATTCAAAACTGTTTCTCCAACGCTTCTACCAAAAACTTAGACTGTTTTCCAAAGCAGAATCGGCCCAGCCCTCCCAGGTGGAAGTGATGGGGAGTGTGCGAAGCCACCGCTACAGCATTGTGTCCTCTGAGGAAGACGGCATGAAGCTGGCCGCCATTGCCGTCCCGAATGGCTACGGAAACGGCAATGTCAACAAGGTGCACACAGAGCACCAACATCAGAGCCGCTTCGTCAGGAAGGATGGTCACTGCAATGTGCAGTTTATCAATATGAGTGAGAAAGGCCAGCGGTACCTGGCAGATATCTTCACCACCTGTGTGGACATTCGCTGGCGCTGGATGCTGCTCATATTCTGCCTTTCTTTCCTGCTGTCGTGGCTGTTTTTTGGCTTTGTCTTCTGGGTGGTCGCCCTCTCTTACGGGGACTTAGAGAATGAGACTCAGATTTGTGTTTCCAATGTGGACAGCTTCACGGCTGCCTTCTTGTTCTCAGTGGAGACCCAAACCACAATTGGCTATGGTTATCGCTATGTGACAGAGGAGTGCCCCGTTGCCGTCTTCATGGTCGTCTTCCAGAGCATTTTGGGCTGCATCATTGATGCTTTCATCATTGGTGCTGTCATGGCCAAGATGGCCAAGCCCAAAAAGAGGAATGAGACCCTGGTGTTCAGCCACTATGCTACAGTGGCCATGAGGGATGGCAAACTGTGCCTGATGTGGCGCGTGGGGAACCTGAGGAAGAGTCACCTGGTGGAGGCTCACGTCAGGGCTCAGCTCCTTAAGTCCCGCACCACAGCCGAGGGAGAGTTCATCCCTCTGGATCAGGTCGACATCGACGTGGGCTTCGATAGTGGCATCGACAGAATCTTCCTTGTGTCTCCAATTACCATTGTGCATGAGATCGACGAGGACAGCCCATTCTACGAGATGAGCAAACAGGAGTTGGAGACGGCAGAGTTTGAGATCGTAGTGATTCTGGAGGGCATGGTCGAGGCTACCGCCATGACCACGCAGTGTCGGAGCTCTTATGTGGCCAGCGAGATTCTGTGGGGCCACCGCTTTGAGCCGGTGCTCTTTGAGGAAAAGAACTTCTACAAGGTGGACTACTCTCGCTTTGACAACACCTACGAGGTGCCCAGCACGCCCCACTGTAGTGCTCGGGAACTCGCTGAGAGGAAGTCCAACGCCTCCAGCTCGAGGAACTCCTTTTGTTACGAGAACGAGGTGGCTCTCGAAAAAGTCGAGATGGAGGAGGAGTTTGACGAGGAGGATGATAACAGGCAGATGAGTGGTGTTGAGGTTGGTGCACTTGAGGACACAAACACAGATGTGGTGTCAGACTCTGAATGCAATCTGGACTCTTTGCCTTTAGAATCAAGACCTCTGACTGCTGAATCAGAAATATGACTGCGGGGATAAAGAAGGGTTAAACACTTACCACAGGGTATGTTAAAGTTAGCTTGAACTGTGGTCCTGATCGCTGTTGTCAATAATGCATGACAATTTGAAAAGACTGTGATTTGAGTATGAAATTCTCTATGCAGAAGCTCATACTCAAGAAACCAAGGAAATACAAACATTGTTTATGGTGAAAGCGGTAGTAAATTAACTGGTTGCATGAAGCTAAAATGGGTTAGATGCCTTCACTTACACACTGTGCAGTCTGTTTCTGTGCATACTACCCTTATTAAACTAAATATGTTAGTAGAATAGCCAATTGGGTTGACTACATTTCTTAATTTATTCAAGTGTATATTTCCAGTTTGCACATTTTGCATTGAGCATCCTGCGTGTAATAGGTTTTCTTTTTGCGGCCTAAACGTCACATGAGGTTTTGACTGGCTAAAATAATTGAATATATTTAATTTCAATTGAAAAAGTTCACTTAAACCAGATGTCTTGTGATTTTATATTTAAATGCCAACCAAAACGTTTGCATTTTTAATCATTTGAAGTTCCACAATCTTGACTTAAAGGATAATGTCATTTTTGAGGAGTTAAACCACCTGCACAAAAAAAAAAAAAGAAAAAAGGCTACTGTTTGTTAACGAGCTGGTCTCTTAGCAAAGTGTATGTCTAGTCTTCTTCAGTGTGATGGTCTTGGCGCAAGGTAGGAAGGCGATGTCTTGCACAGATTACGAGCACAAGTACACTATGCTCCTCAACCTATCATCTTGTCTAAGTATAGCATCTTTTGCAACGTGTGCCTTAACAAAAGTCTCAGTCCCGGAGGAGGCACTCTGGAGGGTTCGGCCTCGACTGAGCACACACTGCATAAGATGTCACAGGAAGAAGCATTCGCGGGTGATTCGCTGCGCAGTATACTGCCACTTCTTGCAGGTCTTCATGTTCTAATGTGCAATACAGTTCAGTGGTAGAATGCGACAGGAAGCTCGAGCCTGAGCCGAGGTTATGAATGTTGATGATACGTGCTGCTAAGTTACATATTGTATGTTTAGAGAGAAATCTAGGAGCCAAAATGTATTATTTGTCTTTTAAAGTATCCATTTTGAAGATTGCAGATACAGCCTATAATGTTATTTTTAGATGTAGACAAGCATGATTTTGTCAGTGTGTTTTCCAAAGCTTTAGAGCACTTTGTTCCTCACCAGAGAATCCTCCCCCCATAACAGCAGAAACTGCTTATTCTCCAAAGCCAAATGTGTACATATATATAAGAGACAACTGTAACTCATCTGTTAGTTGATGTTGATTTGAAACCTGAACTTTTCCTCATCTAACAGTGATTGGCTGTTGAAACAATGATTTATTTGAGTTGATTTTGACGTAGTCTCCTCTCTATATTAACATCAGTGTTCTTGGCATGGCAGTTGTGCAGAATTTGGACACATCTTAGTAAACCCTCTCCCTTTACCGCTGCGGGTCTTGTGAAGTTACTTGTCATTTCTGAATGGGCCCTTGCTTTGTCTTATTAAAGACCAGATCACTTGATCAATCCTTCAGTTACAATCACAAATCCTGAATGGGGATAGCACACTTGACATCAGTCTTACGCAAAGATTGAGCTTTGATATTATTTTTTTTTAACTGTTACTCTAGGTGTAATTGCGACACATTCATGCTTGGATAGCATCAGTGGAAGCCAGAACACTGTACTGCTTCTCTGGTAAGGAAATCTATTAAAACATCTTATCTGTTCTCACATTGACACGTCTCCTGTCTTAGGTCTTTATTTTTCTACCAGGGTCTTCCCACCTTCCTGCACAAACTAGAGACTGTACAGATTTTTTTATCTTTTGTAAATTATAATGCAAATACTGTATATTGATATTGCAGTTGTTGAAAACTGTTTATGTTCTTTTTTCAATAAAAACTTGACAAAATCATTATCAAGTTGATGCATTGATTGTAAACAATGAATCTGGTTCAACAGACGATACTGTGTGCATGTGTGTGAGTTAATTAACAATTGCTACCCATCAGTCTATGTTTACGTGTCTACAGTGTTCGAATTTTCCAAGAACTCACATTTTGACCCAAAATGTGTGACATCTGGAGCTGGTGAGCAGAGGCCTGTTTGACTGTTTTAGCTGTGGACACACATGCTGCTCCTCTAATTTTGGAGCTGTGGCCCAAATTCCAGGCTGCTAGCTGTCAGAGCTCACACCATCATTTACTTTAATTCACCAAACTGACTCACTCCAGTTCTGTGAAAGTCCTCAGAGATCCCATGCTATATCAGTCGGCTCTGCTGGAAGTCATTTTCAATGACAGCAATGGAAAGAACACCTCATGTGATTTTCCCAATCTCTTTCAGTAAACTGTGGAAAATAAGTGTATTCTGCACCATGAAGTGTCTTGATGGATACTGTAAATGTGTAGACTTAGCTGGAATATAATTCTAGTAAAATCATATTTCTTGAAGCCACAAAGTAAAGCATCATTCAGACCACCTCCAATCCTGTCCTAAAGTTTTAAGTCTTCTCACTTCTGTCAGAGATTTCCACTAGAAGTGATACACTGTATTTGTTGATGATCTGTCTACAAAACCACTGGGACACGCACAGATTGCATAACAAACCAATACTCCAGACAGGACGTAGCCAGCACTGTGTGATAACCCACCAGCTCCTCTAATCCAGCATTAACATGCATAAAAACACTATTAAGCAGATGCAACAGATGTGATCAATATTGTTGTATCACAGATTAACCTGTGTTTGCAGTATGACACATTTGTCGGCAAATTTAGTTAGTTTCCATCCGCAGCTGCATTCTGCCAGCATGAGACGTAGTTGGAGGGTCTATTGATCAGACACGTCCGCAGGGAGGCAGTGAGCCGGTTTGATTTGGTTCTACATAGGAAGTGGGTGCTGCTTCGGGGCTTTTTCCACATTAGCCAATGAAACTGCCACAAAGCTCCGGCTTGGAGTGAAAATGGGGACTGTCTATTTTCCATTTAGAAAAAAAAAATTCAATTAATTCTCACCAAACTGCCTTAATTTTAAAACCCAAAGAAGTTATTTTTGTGTTTAGACGGCTTCTGAGTCTACAAGCATTTGGATAATTTAATTCCAGCTTCCCGCTTGAAAAAAAAAAAAAATCCTCTTGATATCAGCGATATCACACCTAAAGTCATGCGATGACATTTAACCGAGAGGGTTGGTAGCTGTTCAGTCCGTGCTGGATGCACTGTGTGAAAGGAATTGACCGCCAGCGTTGGCCAGAGAGCTCTGGTCAATGCTGATGATGACGTCTCTCTGGCGAATTCCCCTGAACTGGCTTATTAACAAGCCTGACCTTCAGATTAGATCGGTGAATATAAACATAAACAGTTCACCAGCAGAGTAAAGCAGCACATGACACACAGAAGTTGATTTATCTGGAAAATACACATATAAGACGTAGTGGACATATTTCATGCTCCAGACCTCAGCGTGAACTGATAAAAAGTAAAGATACGACCAGTGGAAGTGTAGCATTTGTCCTCCTGTTACCCCCTTGTATGAGCTCAGAAACACCCCTGGTTCATGTCAGTGACTGTCACTTAGAGAAAGTTTATACACATAATTTTAGAGAGTGCTAAAATCATAGGCATATTTATCACCCAGGAGGAAGTGTGTGCAGTCTTTCCTGAGCATATTTATTATTCAGGGTATTATATCAGAAAAATGATCAGACTCTGGTCTTATATGGGGCACATCCACAGCCTGTCGCTTTATAAATAGCTTTAACTGTATGTGTTTGGCCTAAATTCACGTCTTGTGAGTGCTGCTGAGGTCATCAGGCGTCACCGACATTAATAATGTAAATCTGATTTAAACAAAAAAAAAAAAGTGGGGGAAAGATGAGTTTCATCTTTATTATAAAGAAAGTGACCTGTGTTTCTTTACACAAGAGTGACTGATGACATTGACCCCTATCTCATTTCACTGAGATGGCCTGTTGCAACACATGAGTCTGCACGAACTGTCAGTAACTCCTTTAAATCTCTTTTCTTGCAGGTGCATATTTGGCATATATATGTGCCTACAGAAACAGATCTGTAGATCCATGCAGTCGGACAACAACATGCGTCAAAGAGCAGAGTGTGCTATGTTCGTCAAGGGCAATTTTCAGGCATCTAGGTCATGGGTTATCAAGAAGTAAGTCAAAAGCAGCTGGATTTGAGATCCTGTCTTGAAAACATAATGTGTGAATTGTCCTTTGCAGATGTTGGGAAAATGAAAAGAGAGTCTGAAGTGATTATGATGCCCTATCTGCAGTGGCAAACATGAAAAGAGGTTGTCAAACTTCAGTACACTGCTGAACTGAGGCAAACCGAGGTTTCACACAGATGTTTCCAGCCGTCTGACAGATGATACACTTCTGTTACGATCAGCTGTTCCGTTCTTTTGTTACTTCCGAGAAAGTGGTGCAGTGTTCTTGACGGTAAAAATAAAGCTGTAGTAGCAGTGACGTTCACGAATTGTAACCACTCTTGCAAAATAAACTTATTGCCTCAACGCATCTGGAAGTGGGACAGAACCTGCAAACCTTTCTCTGAGGATGAAGGCCAACACAAGTCTAAGGGATGTGTTTGATGATGGCTTTGACCTTTTGACAAACATATAACTCATGCAACATGTTGGTAATGAACTGCCTGCTGAAGCCTGTGGTCTAATAGTGAGGTCACCTTGTCTGGGAATGCCACGGTATTTTAGGAATGAGTTAGTTACTGATTTCCACATTGTCATTTGCAGCCTGATTTAAAGCCTTGCACCACAAGTGGCATAAAATTAAATTTAAATAAAATCACCACAACACTTCCTAGAATGCAGTTGGATTGAATTAGGTAATTATATAATTCTGATGACAATTGGATAAGGCCTTTAGTGGGTTTGATGGTGCAGTGGAGACCTGCTGTCTCATGCAGCCGACCAGTCAATGATGGGAGTGGGTTGACTGAGGAGGACTTGTGGCAATGGGGTGGGTGGGGGGCAAAAGCGCTGACACAGACCTGTTTAAACTGCAACTTTGAGGGTGATCATGTTGCCATCCAATCATTCTATGTGACACCGCTGCTGCAGAGATGCTAACCCAATTAGCATGAGGAAATGCAACCCGAAGTCAGCAGCTGTGTGCCAACACGCTTCAAGAGGCACACACAGGTGAAGTACACAGTAGTTCAGTTGCTCATGATACAGTCAAATATACCATGTACAATTGTGAATTTTGGGAATAATGATAAAAAAAAGATCAGTGTTTGCATGTAAAAAACATTAAAAGAAGCTACTTTTTTGCTATAATCCTCCATAATTCTGTACAATCGGCACATTCAGCGCATTAAAATTAGCTGGTGAAGCCTGATTGGAGTGTCTGACATATCAGAATACACTCAAGGTGGTAAGGTTTTACAGCTAACGTTAAACAGCACAGGAGTATCAGATCACAGGCAAATGTCTTTTCATCAAACGGCCAACAGCTGACACACTTTGACTGACTGTCTTTTTATTTTTTTCAGGATGCTGTTGCCTTATTGTCTTTTGTTGTTTGACGTGTGCTGTCTTTAAGCATCTGTCGTGTTATTTTAATACCTGTTCTTTTAAGCTGCATTTTCTGTTATGAAAGGTGCTTTACAGTATAAATAACATTTATTATGATTATTATTATTTTAACTTGCCAGAACCTTCTGCTGCTGCTGTGTGTTTGTGTGTGTGTGCTAGTACAGTATGTGTGTGTGTGTGTGTGTGTGTGTGTGTGTGTGTGTGTAGTATGTGTGAAGGGGGATTCCTGGATAGTGACAGTGAAACCCCAGTAGAGATTTGTCTCTTCTCTTCATGCCTGGATATTCTAATTCTTTTTATTCACATGGGGGTTTGCTAGTTTTAATTTTGAGGTCTTTATCATTTTATCTGTCACTTATATTTAAATACTTATTTGACTACACAACACTAAACAGCTAAAAGTAACATGAATATTTTATCTCTACACTGATTGCAGTTTTAGCCTCCTTACAAACAGTCTATTATCTCTTCTCTTGTCCTGTTTTGCTTGCTTGTTTTCCTCTGCTTACATTTCATTCTAATTTCAGATTTTTGAACCACAATAACCTTACACATGCACACAAACACATGCCCACGCACGCACACCTGCTGACACTCATTTTGGCTCCATCTTTGACAGCTGAGTGTCTCATGACACTCAGGGGAGGAATAGGAGAATCCAGCAGGTACAATATGTTGGACAGGATTCAGGCTTTTTCCATTCCACCAGCCTGCTGAAAGACAATATGTATATTTATTCACAGCGGGTGTGTCTGGTCACACAAGCAGCAACAAAAAGGCACTTGGCACATCGCTGCTTACATGCAATTATGCGTTTGTCCATCGGTGCACTGTTAGTTTATGTTCTGCCTTCTGTTTTGCTTTCCCTTTTCATGCAAATATATACGAGTTTGTTTTATCGTCTGAGATTAGGTTTTCTGCATATTGTCACTGGGACAAAATACATTTACAGTGTTGCAGTCACATCGCTGTATCTCCGTCAATAACTGTGGTTGTGTATTCATGCCGCTGACCTTTATCCCTCTGGCTCGGGCTCCTCTAACCTTGACAGACGCATTCAGAGCCAGGAAACAAAGGCGATACCTACTTTATGCTCATTGT